TGGCCTTTTCTTTGATTTAATTCAAACTTTCTTATCATATCATGAAAATTGTCTTGTATGGTCACTCCTCTAAATCAATTTGCATCAATGCAGGTGTCTCCCAGACTCTATTCTTGACTCCACCCTGTACATTATTTTCATCATTTGGTATCTGAACAGATGACAAGTATTTACATCTATCTTACTAGTAAGTCTAATATGTTTGAGAAAATCAAATTGGCAGCTGATCTAAAAAATGACCTCCAATTTATTGTTAACTGGGGCAAGAAATTGCTTGTTAATTTTAATGCCTCCAAAACAAATCTGCTCTATATTGATCCTCTTAAATCAGCTTTTTCCTATCATTTGCCAAATCTACTGCTAGGAAAATTATTTAATTATGTTGAGCAAGAGAATTTTTCTCGACAAAATCTATCTTGCATATTTATAAGTTCACTATTAATGCATGAATTGCTGCCACATCTGGTCTCATGCTTCTGCTCTGTGTCTAGAGATACTTGATAAAACTCAAAAAAAAAGAATTGGCAATCTTATTGGTCCTGACCTAGCATCTCAGCTTCACTCACTTTCCAACTGCCTTAACATAGCTTTCTTTATTTTTTCTGTAAACATTTTCATAGTAATCAGTCTGAAAAGATTTTCTCATTGGTATCTCAGCTGCAGAAATTTAAGCGCAGTACTAGATGAGCAGTTAGGTCTCATAATTTCACTCTTGAAATTGGTGATTTTTAACCATAAGTTCTATGCTAATGGTTTCTTCTCATATACTTCTCACTTGTGGAAGCCGCTCCTGATTTCCTGCTTTACTGTCAATGATCAAAAAATGAAATGCAATTTCAATTGTCATTTTATGTTTTATTGAATTATGTTCTTTTATTGTTCTGTATGATTCTTTAACTCTCTGTAACTCTTTGCATTCAAGCGACTTTTATTATTTTGCTTAGGCAGAAAAGATTATATATATATATATATATATATATATATATAGATATATAGATATATATATATATATATATATATATATATATAAAACATGTTTATCCTAATGTACAGCCAGTTAGATCAGGGCTACAGGAATGTAGGATGCCCATGGCTTAGATACAAAGACAAGCTGAAGAGCAACTTCTCAGCTGTCAATATACCACATAACACCCTTGAGTGCTTAGCTTTGGAGCGGGTAGAATGGAGATCAACGTGTTTTAGTGGACTCAGCAATTTTCAATCTGCTTGTCTGAACCATCTTCAAGAAGCGAGACCAAGATCTAAAAGGTCAGCCAATCTAACAGTGATCTCATTTCACAATCCTCACACTTACTCCATATGTGGCCTCCTTTGTAGATCACTAGCGGGTCTTAAATGCCACTTAAGATTACCGCACAAATTTTCATAACTGAATCAATAAGCTGTCAGATCCTCATATGTCGAAACCGACGGGAAAGTCCATTATATAACATGCTGACAACACTAATATAATAGCATCATCTACATGCAAAAAAAGTCTAAAAATAATGGAAGCCTTTTTAATAAAAACAAAAAAACTAACACTTAATAATATTAACTATGAACATGGACACAATATCTTGACCGTGTTTTGAAAATTGAAAACATTTTATAAAACATACATGCAACAAACTATTTCTTATTTAACAGTTAAAATATTTAATCCTTGAAAATGGCTAAATGTATAACCGATAAGTGCTTGGATAAAAAGAACATTCAAATATTTTTTATATAATTTATCATCTGAAAATAAAAAAATTCTTAGATCGCATGAGAAATTGTATAAAAAAAACTAAATAAAAGCACCCTGTCTGTCTTATTCAATGAAATGTGCATGAAAGAAGGATTGCTGCCTAAATACACAAATATATATATATATATATATATATATATATGTATATATGTATATAGCCCAGTACAAACTTGTGGTTGGTAACTCCATTATTCTAAAGAAATCTGTACAACTGCGAATACAAATTATTAAGGCTCTTTATATAAAATAATCTAGGTCAAGATTCAACTTTATTTAACAACAGTTCAAACATGTTGGTGATCTTCTAAGAAGACACCCAACATAAAGTTATGCTGCATCTTCTTCATATGCCTCAGATTATTACTACTTCTATGCAATACACGTTATAGCATGAACATGGAAAATTATGAACAATGTACCCTTTAAAAATGACTAATGAATTGGCCAAAGTTGTTTGGGATAATAACCATTATGGACAGTTTCATAACTTGAACTTACCATGTGAAGTTTGAAAATTTTACTCTGTGGATTCTTCTGTTATTACAAAGAAGCAAATAGAAAAATTTCAATGATTTATATCTCAAAACCTACAATATAAATCATATCTGGTAAGTTTTAATACATAAAACATGTTTACATATAAATGATGTATGGAAAATTTTGATAAATTATATGTGCTAGGTTTTAATATATAGAATGTATATGGTCAACTGAATATATTATATAGGGTATATTTTTTTATATCTAAATCATATATGAAAAGTTTTAATAAATTCTGTGTGGTAATGATAATATAAGCTGTTTCCCTACAAGGAAACATTTAGCATTCATTGACTGAGCAGCCAGTACAGCTTTCGATTCAAATTTATAAAATCTCTCCTTAAAAAAAATTTTGAGGAAAATATGATTCTCAAGTTCAGTAGCAGTTATCGCTCTTTCCTGCATTTAAGTTTTTTTTTTTCTTAACCACTGTTTTGAAGTAGCATAGTCTGTCAACATCTTGCTTATATCATTATATTCTTTTTTAATTAAATGTGCTATCCAATTTAGTTCTTGCTGCTGTTGAAGATCTTCAATTTATTTGTGGCTATTGGTATGATCCTAGTAACATAAGCCATTTCCCTGCAAGTAAACATTTGGTATTTGTTGTAGCATACTACGGCCAATAGTGGGTGTGTCCCCATTCAATTAAATACAGTAGTAAATACTGTATGTTGGTCTACAATTGGATATTCATTGTGGAATTCACTTGACTCATTTCTAGCAGTTGATTACTTCTCTATATGCTGCTGGCAAATCTTATATGTGTTGTTCTTGTCATAAGTGTTATCATTCATTAACCAAACTTTGTGTTATTATTCTATTCAGTAACCTTCCCTAGGTTGCAACAGAATTTATTGACTGAACAGCCAGTACTGGTTCCAGTTGAACTTTATAAATTATTTCTTTTTTTTATTTTTGATGAAAATAGACTTGTCAGGTACAGTAGCTCTTACCGCACTTTCTTGTATTGGTGGGGGTTTCCTTCCTAACATTTTATGAGAAGTAGTGTGGAATATCAACATCAGTAATAGATGAATCCTATGGTAAGTTTTAATATATAAAACATATATAGTAATTTTAATACATAAAACATATAAATCATATATGAATTGTTTTAATAAATCACACATATATGATTTTAATATATAGGAAAATGTCATTAGAAAAGAGTACTGTTACATGATCTCAGTCCTCCTGTATGGCAGAGAATGCTGGACAATCGTCTCATAGATAAAGAAGAGACTCAAAGGAACAGAAATGTGGTTCTACAGAAGGATACTGAGGATACTGTGGATCAAATATGTGAGCAATTAATTAGTTTGTGAGAAAATGGAAGCAAAAAGGAAACTTACAATAACATAAAGAAAAGCTACTTGAAATTTCTAGGTCACATAATGGGGAAAGAAGGCATGGAAAATCTGATACTCACAGGACAAATTCAAGGCAAGATGAAAACAATGCATAACGTACTTAGCAAGCTTGAGCAAATGTATGGCAGAACCAGGTTTAGGAGAAATAACAAAAAGACACAATTTATTAAGAGCTGTGAAGGACAGGAAATTGTGGAGAGCCATGATCACCCAGATCATGAAAGAACTAGGTATATAGAAGAATAAAGGACATATGTATTAAGTCTAATACATAAAACCTGTTATATAAATTTTAATATATTAAATATACTGTAAACTTTAATATATGATTGATGTCTTAAGTTGTAATATATAAAACATATGATAGGTTTAGTATATAAAACTGTATATTTTGATACAAGTGTGTGAGGTTTAATAATTATAATAAAAATATATTTTAATTTGTAAATCATATATGGTAAGTTTTAATAAATCATATATGTTTAATATATGAACAGTATAGCAGGTTTTTATATATAAAACATATATGGTATGTTTTTATACATAAAACATATATGGTATGTTTTTATACATAAAACATATATGGTATGTTTTTATATATAAAAAGATATGCTAAGATTTAACATATGAATCATACCATAAGTTATAAAAAAATAACTTGTACACCAACTGTTTTTTTTAAAAAAAAATTTTTTTTTTGATAGACTATCGTAAATTTCAAAACTTTCTGTTCTATCCGTGACAAGACTGAGTCCCAAAGCAGCCAGTCGTTGATGTCTTGCTGGCAAGTAGATGGCCATCCTATCTGGGGGATATACAAAAAAAAATCTGGTAACTGTTTGACAGCTGTTGTCATTTTTGCCAGGTAAAGCTGCATCAAATTTGAGGTGCCGATGGGTAAAATATGATACATAAAGAGGATTAAAACAGATGGAAAGAGGGTATTTAGTTGTGCATGTGTGTGTGTGTGTGTGTGTGTGTTGTGTGGGGGTGGTGATAAAGAAGAGGAAATATGAAAAGAGAGAAAGTAGGAGGAGGTGAATGTGAGAAAAGATGATATTTTGATGGTGAGCTGAAGAGAAAATAGGGATAGATATAATATACAGAGAGAGAGAGAGAGAGAGAGATAAGAGATTAAATAGGAAAAGAGAGATGGTAGGAAAGATGAATGATGACAAATATGTAGTGAGATAAGAGAAAATTGGAAAAGATAGGTTGGAGAGATGATATTTTAAGACAAAGGAAGAGAAAAAGAAAGAGTGAGTAGGAAAGAAAGAAAAAAGAAGTGAGAACAAAGAAGAAGTCTATGAAACAGAGGATATAGTCAAATGATGTTAGAATAATAATGAGAAAAAGTAACTATTTAGAGAAGAGGTAAAGGAAAGAGAAAGAAAGGGAAATGATGAAGTAAATAATATTTCTGAAAATAGGAGGATAAGAATGAAAGAATCTTGGAAAGAAATGTGGTGTAAAGAATAGAGAGAAAGTACAGATAGAAGGAAAGGTGGAAAAAAAATAACAAATATAAAAATCAGAAAAGAAAGTAAAAACCTAAGAAGAGAAGGAAAAGAAAAAAGTGAATGTAAGACGTAAATGAAAAAGAAGGAAAAGAAAAAGTAAATGAAAGACAAAAATGAAAGAGAAGGAGAAGAACAAGTAAATGAAAGAGAAGGAAAAGAAAAAAAGTAAATGAAAGAGAAGGAAAAGAAAAAAGTAAATGAAATACGTAAATGAAAGAGAAGGAAAAGAAAAAAATAAATGAAGAGAAGGAAGAGAAAAAAGTAAATGAAAGAGAAGGAAAAGAAAAAAGTAAATGAAAGAGAAGGAAAAGAAAAAAGTAAATGAAAGACGTAAATGAAAGAGAAGGAAAAGAAAAAGTAAATGAAAGAGATTAAAAAGAAAAAATAAATGAAAGAGAAGGAAAAGAAAAAAGTAAATGAAATACATAAATGAAAGAGAAGGAAAAGAAAAAGTAAATGAAAGAGATTAAAAAGAAAAAAGTAAATGAAAGAGAAGGAAAAGAAAAAAGTAAATGAAAGACAAAGAAAAGAAAAAAGTAAATGAAAGACGTAAATGAAAGAGAAGGAAAAGAAAGACGTAAATGAAAGAGAAGGAAAAGAAAAAAGTAAATGAAAGAGAAGGAAAAGAAAAAAGTAAATGAAAGAGAAGGAAAAGAAAAAAGTAAATGAAAGATGTAAATGAAAGAGAAGGAAAAGAAAAAAGTAAATGAAAGAGAAGGAAAAGAAAAAAGTTAATGAAATACATAAATGAAAGAGAAGGAAAAGAAAAGAGTAAATGAAAGAGAAGGAAAAGAAAAAATAAATGAAAGAGAAGGAAAAAAAAAAGTAAATGAAAGACATAAATGAAAGAGAAGGAAAAGAAAAAAGTAAATGAAAGAGAAGGAAATAGCAGTATAAAGACAGAAGAGAAAAATGTAACAGCAAATTTGTTTTGAGAGAAAAAAACAAAGAAATAAAAGAAAGATTAGAAGGCATAAGGATAGAAAGTGCAGAGAGCAAGATGGAAAAAGGAAAGAGAAAAAGCAGAAAAGAATGAAGAAAGCAGGAAAAGTAGAAAGAAAGAAACAAAATGATAAAGGAGGAGGAAGAAGGCAAGATGTAAAATGGAGGAAGAAAAGGAAGGAGAAGACAAAAGAAAGAGCAAAATGGAACAAAAGAGAAAAGAAAGCAGAAGATGGAAAAAGAAAGGAAAAGAAGAAATAAGAGAAAGAAAGAGCAAGATGGAAAAAGGAAGAAAAAGAATAAGTGAAAAAAGAGCAAGATGGTAAAAAGCAAGGAGAGGAAGAATAATAGAAAGAAAGAGCAAGGTGGAAAAAGGAAAGAAAAAAATAAGAATAAGAGACAGAACAGGATGAAAAAAAGAAGGAAAAGAAGAATAAGAGAAAGAAAGAGCAAGATGGAAAAAGGAAGAAAAAGATGGTAAAAAGCAAGGAGAGGAAGAATAATAGAAAGAAAGAGCAAGGTGGAAAAAGGAAAGAAAAAAATAAGAATAAGAGACAGAACAAGATGAAAAAAGGAAGGAAAAGAAGAATAAGAGAAAGAAAGAGCAAAATTGAAAAAAGAGAGAAGAAAGAAAATGCAGGAAAAGGAAAATGAAAAAATGTAAGAGAAGGAAAAAATTAAAAGAAATAAAAATTAAGTAAGAGAAAGAAAATGGAATAAAAGTAAAGGAAATAGACTTTTTGATTTTAAAGTTGTTACGCATTCTAGTGAAAATGGTGATAAACTGTCTAAGATTTATGTTCTTTGTTTAGTTTTTGAGTTCTTTCACATTCTCACCTATCATCAAGAACTAAGTTTTGATTCATAAACCAGAGTTTTATTATAATACAGCCTGGCATATTTTTGTACACTGAATTTCAAATTTAAATAAACATATATCATAGAAGTTATACCTTATTTATAATGTTTACTCAATTTGACTGTACGGGAAGACAAATACATGAAAAATTGTAAACATATTATATATAACTAGCCAAATTTCTCTCACCTTGCTGCATGCCACACATTTTTTGCAAGAAAATAATTGATTTTAAATCATTAATATAATTTGTAGAGAAAAATGATGCATTTCACTATTAGTCAACGATCTTGCTGATGTGACCTCTGTCTTATGGCTTTCTCCTTCTATATTTTTTGTAGGTATCATTCCTTTGTTCAAATTTAATTTAATTCAAAGGGGGGAAAAAAATTCAGTGGTGGGGTTTGTGTACCCTGGGGACCCCCTTTGATCAAAATATACTTATCCATGTAAACTAGGAGTCATTTCCTTGCTCAAATTTAATTTAAATCAAAAGGAAAAAAAATTTCAGTGGCAGGTTTGTGCCCCCTGATGACCTCCTTTGATCAAAATGATCTTACCGATTGTGACCTCCATCTTCTGGCTTTCTCCTATATTTGGATAGATGGATTTTTACATGTTGGACGAAAAGAGGTCACTGACCCTTTTCCTTTTTCTGTCATATTTCAGAGAGTTCAAGGTTGCTTTAATGTCTGGATAGTATCTGGTCAAATCATCACTTGACGAAAAAGGAGAAAATGTACTTTTCTTACAATACATAATCTTTGCTTGGGTGCATGTAAGTTTGATCAAGAACCAATAATTGTTAATTTCACTTTATTTCTTTTTCATTTTCACACTTTTTGAAAGTACTGGATCCTTATTCAGAGTACTTTGAAAATATAAACTTTAGTTTTGATTTTAGAATAAAATTAGATGAGGGTTCATAACAATATATATATATATACACACATTGAGAAGTTTACCTGATATATTTTCCATAATGTTTGCAGCTGCTTTGGTAATATAATCTATAAATGTCATCTGGAATTGTATCTATACATTTATCTCTTGTTGCATGTAAGAAATAATTCTTTTTTAAAGCATTAATATCCAAAGAAAGTTTACTTGAAACAAAATAACAGAGCATTATATATATTAGCAGCCTGTTCTCACTAACTAATAATGAGATATTCTATATTTATTATAGTATAAGGCATCAAGTAATGTTACCATAACAACGGGGTACCTTATGGGTTTATAAGGCATATCAGGTTTTGTGATCAGTAAAGAATAAAGTAGATTGTCTAGCAAGAAATTATTTGAAAAAATCTGATATTGCAAATGAAATATTTTGATTTGGTTGGTTTGATAGCATAATAAAACCTGAGAGCCTCAAAAAAGTTATCAGTCTGTTTTTTATGGAGTTAGATATTATATTTTAAGTATTTAGTCCTTTTTAAGAAAATAAGTTCAAAATGTTTTACTGAGAAATAAATTTTTTCTTCAAGACTTTGTTTTCCAATGAAACTAATTAATAGTAAAGTGGATAAAAGCATTGGTTGAAGTAATCCAGTAGTTGTGAGTTCAATACCTGGCCACAGCAAAGGTGAACAAAAAATTGGAGAGTTGAATTAAAGGGAAATAACTGAAACTGATATGTCAAGAAAAGGCATGGAATGTGTCACTGGAGTAATATACCTTGTGGATGAAATAAAGGTTTTGGCTTGAAATTCCAATCACCAGAAGAAGTTTGGAGCATACAGCAGCCAAAATGTGGTGAATATGACAAGAAAGATGAGGACAGCAATTCAAACAATGTAAATACTTACAATATCACATCTCTGAAATATAGACAGATATTAAACTAATTAATGTTTATTTACAATTTGAATCCAAAGTATTTATGCAATGCTTTTATTTTTCAGAAACTTTTTGGGACAGTTAATATTATTCTTTAGACCAGGGTCAGTAAACTTTTGCTAACTATGTGCCAACGTAGGGTTTTAAAATCATTCATTGTGCCAACAACATATATATTTTTATATGCATCAAAGTCAATATACCTGTTCTACAATATATTTTATATAGTAATATATAGTATTTATACTTTAGTATATATTAAAATTGAAACAGATAAATATCTTTGCGTTGTAGTACTTATTGGTTCAGACTTCATGCTGTCATTTGCAGTTGTGTGCCATTGGAAATTACTTGGCGTGCCACATGGGGCATGTATGCTGTAGGTTGCTGACCCTTTCTTTAGACTATCTGCTTCTCTACAGAAAACTCCTGAAGGTTAAGATCATAGTCAATTTGAAAAAAATATTTTCTTAAAAATTACTCCTACTTATAGGAAATTTTTGACTAATTATCAATAACAAAAAGGAAGAGAAACCCAACAAGAATGAAATCTTTTCAGTTAATATTGTCCTAATCCCAGGGCATTATCTATCCCCAAATTTTGTTTGAATTAAAGACTGCTCAGTACTTTAATGTTTTTAATTTTTTTTCTTTTTTCTGTCAAGATTATTCAGGATTTAAATGAACAAGTCAGACGTTAGCATTAGTAAAAATTCATCATCTACACCAAGTTTAGACAGAGTCTATGAGTTAAATCCAACACTTTGATCTCCAGGTATTTTTCGAGAATAAAGAGGATGGTGAGTAATGATTTTGTTGAAGGCAAATTTGACTGTTCTAAGATCTTATCAGAATTCTTGCCTCTAAAAATGATTGTTACTTGATTAGCAATATTAATTTTTCTTGTGAATATTTAAACTACATATTTTTTTTATTTTATATATATATATATATATATATATATATATATATATAAAATAGCAGTTGAAATTTCTTATGGCATCAAGCAATTTTCTGCCAGTAATCAGCTTTTGGGCAAACTCTTTTTAGAGCTGTTCATCCTTTTTGATATTCTAAATGCTCTGACATGACTTTCGGTTGCATCTCTGTCTTTGGACAGACTGCAACTCAGTTGCAGGACAGAGGCACAACTGAGGAAAATCACACTGTGAGGTTCCCAGCCCTAGGGAACAGATGCTCGAGGCTGCACTCTTTCATTGCACTAGTGAGAGGGATTGGTACCTGCACTCAGACCAGTGCAACTGGCGTTTGTGGGAGCTTGGGGAATTTTTGTCCTTGTCCCAAGTGTACACACTCAGGTTTCCCACATTAAACTTGATCTTGTGTCACATCCTGTCTCAGTGGGGAGGCCAGGGTAAATATTCATACCAGCAAGACTTTCCTGGTAGGAATTTTTTTTTTTTTTTTAGCTATTTTTGATCTTGGCCAGCTGGTTTACCTGGGTTTGTATGGTTGGTCAACCATATTGAACTCATCTGGTGGTGTATAGGGTACCCATTCTATAAACAACAACTATTGGTCATCAGACAATTGCATACAAAAGCATGAAACTAGCAGCTGTGGCTGGTCACTGCCTATCTGGATTTTGCTTTAATATATATTTAAGAGAGCCTTTTTAAAATAAGTGGACTCTCTTCTGGTATTATCTTTATTAATTAATTTTTCTTGTGTTTCTACAAATGAAAAATAAAAATTGTCCTTGATAATGGCTGAAAGTGCTTGGATATGCAGAACTTTTGGACAGTTTTGAAAAGAAATCACTTGTACAAACATAAGGAAAATTAAATAAAAAAAATGTAATCTCATCACATTGCCTTGTCAGTTGTCCTTAACTTGTGTGTGTGTATTATGTATATATATATATATATATATATATATATATATATATATTTAGTTATTTTTTAGTTGCTCATTTAGTTTTAACCATTAATCTGAGAAAGTATCTGAAAAGGGTTTGCAGTTTAGGTATTTCTGAATAGGTAATTCCTACAAATATATGTTTAAATACTTGCACACATTTCCATTTTATATTGTATATTCAATTGTAAATGAACATCGAAAAGCTATAGACAAACATTTCATTTTACTTACAGGAATTATTCTTATTTTATGGATCAAGTACTTTAAGGACTAAGGCAGTCATGTTTCTCCATGACTTTCTGTCGTTTATTGCTTTAAGTAATTTTTTATGTTTTACAACCTCTCCTTGTCAATGTCCTATCTTATTATAGCTTACTTATTTATCAACATCTTGTGCCTTGGGTATGTTCTGTGAGTATCATATTCTCTAGATCTTCATTCCTTATGTTTCCAAAAAATTACAATTGTCTGTTTTTAATTGTATGTTTTTCTTGTTCCTTATTTGCTTAAGACTTACATTTTTATCATAATATTCTGTGCATGCTATTCTCAATATTCACAGGCAGAACTATACCATTGTTAGATTTATTAGCCAAGACATTTTGTTTTTTATTTTACTGTGGACAGAGAATTGTCAGATTTTATGTGGGAAGCTCTGAAAGTAAGATCTTATATTTATTTCCATGGAAACTGTGACAGATGTAGAGAGGACAATAACACTGATAGATTTAAAAATGTTTCAGCTATAAAACACGTCACCACCACTGAACCAGAGCCGGCATGCCATGCTCAGAATGTGGTTTGTCATATAAATTGTTGTTGACACTGTTGAAATACATGCCTAACTATATGCATATCCATTATTTTGCCTTGCTAAATATTTAACAAGTTTTGATGGATGTGAATGGATTAAAATTTTTCCTCATGAAGGAACTAAATGGCACAACAATTGCTTCATATGCATTTTAATCTTAAATTCCAGCAACTCTCTGTTACTAGGCAATGATTTTTTTTTTTACAATGATGTTCATTCTTTACAATGTTCAAAAGGTAGAGGGTTACACAGTTAGAGTCACATGTGGATACATGAGAAAAAAATAAGTTAAGCCTTGGGTTGAACATGTTATGGTTGTAATGATTGTTTTCTTTGGAGTCGGTTCATGGGAAGAAGCTGCTCAAGT